GTGTGTTTGCTAAAGAGTTAGCCTTTTTATGCTAACTTTTATGATTGCTCCAGTGTGGTCCATGGTGGGAAGTGTGTGTTTGCTAAAGAGTTAGCCTTTTTATGCTAACTTTTATGATTGCTCCAGTGTGGTCCATGGTGGGAAGTGTTAGCTCCTTGACCTGGTCTTTGTGCACATACAGCAGTGTGAGGAAGCTGGTGAAGCTCAGCGCGGTTCAGTTCATGCTGAACAACCACACGGTGAGTCCTGCAGGATGAAGCCTCACAGTTATTAAAGGCTGTGCCACATGATGAGGATGATGATGTTGGTTTGTTTCGACAGAGCGAGCATTTCTCTTTCCTGGGGGTGAACAACCAGTCCAACCTGAGCGATATGAGGTGTCGGACCACCTTCTACACAGCGCTGGGCCGCCTGCTCATGGTTGACCTTGGTAAGTGAGCAGATATTCCTGTGTGTCAGCGGTGTGCCTGCTGGGAGGTTAATAAAGGTGATTTTGGGTGTGTGTCTGTGTGAGCAGGAGAAGATGAGGACCAATTTGAACAGTTCATGCTGCCTCTGACAGCGGCGTTTGAAGCTGTGGCTCAGATGCTGAGTACCAACACATTCAACGAGCAGGAAGCCAAGGTGACTGAGACTCTGCAGCTCGTCTGTCAGCTTCGGTCCTCCAGAGCGCTGATTGGCTCGTCTCTGCTCTTTAACTGATCTCAGTCTGTTTCCTGTAGAGGACTTTGGTTGGCTTGGTCCGAGACCTCAGAGGCATCGCGTTCGCCTTCAATGCAAAGACAAGTTTCATGATGCTGTTCGACTGGATGTATCCTTAAAGCCAAGTGGCACCGACTCAATAACCTGTCTGATAAATTGGACTTTTATCCCTGTTTGGTTGGAAGACGTGTCCTTAACCAGATCACCAGATATCCGGCATACATGCCCATCCTGCAGCGGGCCATCGAGCTGTGGTACCATGACCCGGCCTGTACCACACCGGTCCTCAAACTCATGGCAGAACTGGTTCACAACAGGTAAACGCTGAGATGCTGGGACATTAGAACCTCCGGTTCTGGATTCCAATCCTTCAATGTTTGAATCAAACTGCATCTGTGCAATCAAACTAGCAACCCTAAGAGCAGCATGAATTTATGCCACGCATACATTTGTGATGACAGACGGCTTTGATGGCATGAGGAGACTTTGAAACTGTTTTTTGCTGCTACATTTCGTCTGGTGATGCGCTGTGCGCGCCCATCTAGAGTTAGCCAGGATATTGGGGACATGTGGAAAAGCCTGGAACTATAAACGCTGCAGACGGCCTGGCTTCAGGTCTGTAGGGTCCGCCATCCTGTCAGCGGAGACAATAAACCAGAGATTGTTGTTTTTTGAAAGAACTTGGCAAATGTTCATTACCAGAAATAGAAATTCAAGTATGCAGCAAAAAATGTTTAAACATATATATATATATATATATATATATATATATATATATATATATATAAAAAAGTATAAAAAATCATAATTTACATTTTTAAGTTTTGAAATTTAATAATTTAATAAAAAGCTTTAAAGTAAAAGTCAAGTCAGCAGGGAATAATCAGTGGGTCACTATTTATAGCTAAAACTAATATGTTCACTGCCTCCAGTGAAGCACATTCAGATGAAAATGACTCTTAATTAAAAACACTGATCATTTATTGAACAGGATGGAATCATTTCAGATTTAAAGCACTTTCAGAAGTTTAAATTCTGAATATGAGTGACTTTTCCTTTACCAATGATTTCCGTTCTGATGACTTCCAGCATGGATCGGCCACAGCAGCTGTTCTTGTCCATGAAGTCCAGCAGATGGTGCTGTTGTACCATCTGAACAATAATTCTGCAGGCCAGCGTTTCCAAACCTTTTTTAACTTGTGTTCCCCTTTGGGCATGGAGTCCCCCTCTCAGTCAAAAGTATTAATGTCCAAAAGTGGAACTTGCAATAACTGATTATAAATAAAAACCATTTTATTTAACCCTTTTAACTTGAGAATAACTTTGGCATGTGATTCTTTGCAAAAAATATCATAAATAGGTTGCATGGAAGTTATTAAGGAATTAAAATACAAAATAAAATCATATTATAAAGCTCCTCTGAGTAACTCCCTTATAATCACATTTAAACTGGATTAATTGGGAACAAAAAAAATATAGACTGGCTTAACTAGTTTTAGTTTGTTGTCATCCTGAGCTGCTTTGATGAGCTCTGATAGCTCAGTGTGGGAAACAGCTGATCCCAGGCTGTTCTCTACATGCAGTCTGTTCCTCTGCTTGGTGGAGCATTGTTTGAATTTCAACCATTCTGGTTCCGACACCAATTCTTTTAGGAATTCAGTTCATAAATACTTTATTAATCCCAAAGGAAAATAAAATGTCGCAGTAACTCAAAGATTATTTCTTAAACAGTTTTTACTGTAGGTGTTGATAGCTTTACACAGGGAGGATCTTCTAATCCAGTGCCGCAGCGTGACATCACAAACCAGTAGGTGGCAGTAGTGTTCTTGGACAAACATGGATGCCTCCAGTAAAGCACATTCACATGAAAATTACTCTGAATTAAAAACACTTATTTATTGAACAGTATGTAATAATTTCATATTTAAAGGACTTTCAGAAGTTTGAATTCTGAATATGAGCGGACTTTTCCTTTAATACCGCGATCAGACATCTTTTTATGCAGACCTCCGGCCGCATCGCTGCCCCCCTCAGGACACTGTGCATCATTTCATGGGCATTACGCTGCCGTGCGTTATGCAGAAGTTAGGCTGTCGTTGAGCAGAAGTTCTGGACTCGCTATGAATACTCTATGTATACGCCCGAAATTGAAAAAATACTTAGAAATTTCAGCGTATGTGAGCGTTTTAGAAGATTCTGGGGTGTCAGGCAAGGTGTGACTAAATCTGCGAGGTGTGACACGGCCCTTTATGATTTTGCTGCTTAAAAGAATAAAAGCAAAATAAATGAAATGATTAGAAACTATTTTATTGATCCGATTTGCAAATGGAGGCATCACTGGTGTGAAACTGGTGTGAAACCATGGCCCAGCAGCACCAGCTGGTCTCTGTAGGCATCAAACTTAGTTATCCTCTTAAAGCGTGGTCCTAGAGACTCAAACATCCGAGGCTCGGGTTTAACCTAAAGGTTTCCGATTCCTCTTCATCTGTCTGCAGATCTCAGAGGCTCCAGTTTGATGTGTCGTCTCCCAATGGAATCCTGTTGTTCAGAGAAACCAGCAAGATGATCACCACATACGGTACTGGGACTAGACCCTCACAGGTCCAGCGTTCGCTCTGAACCGAAGTGACCTCGGCTCGTCTGTTTTAATTCCCAGGGAACCGGATCCTGACTCTGGGAGAGGTCCCCAAGGACCAGGTGTACGGCGTGAAGCTGAAGGGCGTCAGCGTGTGCTTCGCCATGCTGAAGGCGGTGCTCAGCGGAAACTATGTCAACTTCGGGGTCTTTCGTCTCTATGGCGACGACGCTCTGGACAACGCCTTGCAGACATTCATCAAACTGCTGCTCTCAATCCCTCACAGTGACTTACTGGTAGGTCCACGCTCTCCCAGCCTCACGTGGTTCATAAAAGCTCTGGAAAAATGCAATTCAGAAGGTTTGCGTTCTGGAAAAAGGTTTTTTAAAATCTGTTTCCAGTCTCCTCCCTTCCGTGTGTCCTTTCATCCTCCTTTCCTTCATAAGATCTTCCTCCTTCCTTTCCTTTTGTCTTTCCCTCATCTTGTGTTCCAGCCTCAATCATTTCCTCCCTCATCCCTTGTAGTTCCCAGGTTCTGTGCTTAAAGCATGGAAGTAAATCTGTGTCGCTGGGATTTGAATTAAAAATGCCACTGAAATTTAAATGTTGTATGTTTGTTCTTACTGTTTCAGTGTTGAAATATATTCACAACACATTTTTGACCTAAAAAAATTCATTGTCATTATTTCTACACAGTTGAACTTTCATTTATTTTCTCTTCAAGCTAAAAATTCACATTACTATTTCAGTGATTACATTTTCAATACTTATTTTTCTGTTTAATTTTTCAGTGTTAAAAAAAATCTATATAAAAAAATTCAACCTTTCAAAATTCAAACTCAATATTTTCAGCCTCCTGAGATTCAACTGGCTCTAT